TATCTAAAGAAATAGGTGCTCGGCTTTTGTACAAAGAGCAGTGCTAAGAAAATAGCGGAAGGCACAAAGGTGAGATGAAATCAAAGCCGAGTAAATAATTTCAGGAAGTCGGGGATGTGGAACCTATGGATTTGCAGCGCGTTGTGGCACTGAGTGCGGGACGTGGGGATTTTTCACGCGGCAGAATCCATTTTGACCTGTGGGGACACAAAAGAGACCCCTCAGCTGTGGGGACGCTGAGCCCGACCCAGCAGGGCATGGGAGTGCCCTCGGTGCTGCTGCAGGGTGAGGATTTCTTCCGCCGTGGGCAGACCATGATCTGGAAAAAAAAAAAAAAAAAGAAGTGTATTGCTGGAATCAGTGGGAGAAGCAAAGTCGGGTTGGGCCAGAAAGGTTTTGACGCCTCTCCCTTCCCTAGAACTGACGCCCGCGGTGGTGTAGAGGGCAGAGGTGGCGGCAAGTTGCCTTATCTCTCACAAAAATAATCTCATCTTGCTGTTGTGTCACTTCACGTTGCAGAATTTCCCATTGCTTAGCCTCCGAATTTTCAATATATACGAGTACGTCACGTGTGATTATCTTCTCGTCGTTTAAGGAAAAACAACTAAGTGTAGTGTTGATTTCCCCCCCAGTTGACAATTTTGATGGAACGTACTGTAAACCTCCCTTCGTTCAGGAATATGGGTGCTTTTGAATTCATGACATGTCTTCCCCCACAGTGTGTTAATTCCCCTGTAGGGGTGTTTGTCATAAACATGCAGGATTCTGACTTTAATTTGGAAACTCCGCCGACTTGTTTGGTTTCACCACGCACGTCTGTTCTGTTTCGAGCTGCTTTAGGTAAAGGAATCTGGCGTTCTGGGAGGGTGCCAGCTCTGGTCTGTGCACGGTGGGTTTTGGTTTTAGGCTGCTGTTTCTGGGGACAATTTGTGGAGATAAGGGTGATGAATCATCGGTTAATACCTGTCAAATCCTCACAAGAATCCTTCGATACGTGCACAGATAGACGCCCTTCTTGTTCTTCGGCATCTGAATCCTATTAACAGCTGTCAAAACCTGGTAAACTATTTATATGCTTTCACAATTTGTTTAATTGGATAGTTAGGAAATGGCATACAAGAAAAGCTTTTCTTTTTTCTTTTTCTTTTTTTTTTTCCTTTAGTCTGGCTGAACATCTGTAGCATTAGGGGCTCATTATCTCTGAATTGGCATAGCAAATCAGCAGCGTCATTAAAATGCCACATTAAGATGATTAAGTTTCTTTGTTATCCAGTTGACTTTTTGCATGTGCTGAGGATTTCACGATTATGACCCCGCTCCTTGTAAAACACTTGAGCTACATCACCCTTTTGTGCTGTTGCCTTTAATAGCTTCTGGGTTTTATTCTTTGTGCTTTTCATGACGCTGCTGATAAACTTTGCTTAACAACGGTACAAAACTCTACGTTTGATGCCAACATCTTGGATTAAATATAGTAGTTGGGGAGTTTTCCTTCAGAGACTTCCTTCTTGAGGGGGATAGCTAAGATGATACTCTAGCTTGCCCTCCTGGTTTGCTGCTATTTACTTCTTTAATTCATGCATTTTATAGAACATACCCAAGCGCTGCTCATGTGGTGACTCAGTCTGAAGTTGCCACCGCAGCTTTATTTTGGATTTTTTCCAGACCCCATTGTTTTTACAGTGTTTCAGGTGAAACAAAAATATTACTCTGGAGTATATCTTTCATCTTGTAATCATCTCCCCAGGAAATGAAACCATGTGCATCAGCCTTAACGCATCACACTGGTACTTTGTTGTGTAAAACCTACAGCATTTTGCTCGGCGGTGCACATTACCTTTGCGAACCGGCTCGAGAAAAATAGTTACCTGGGTTGGACCCTGTGAATGTTTTTTTCCTCTTACAACCTCTTTACTTTCCCAAGCACGGAAGAGATGACAGCACTTCGTTTGTTCAACTGAGGCAGCTTTGTTAGCGTTGTTAGGGATAATTGTGTTTTTCCTCCTTTTCTACTTGAAGTTACAGCCACCTTTCTCCTGGCTCAGGAGGACCAGCCTGGAAACTCCCTGATCTCATTAAAGTATTGTTGATAGGATTTGTAAGTGACGGATACAAACCTTTCCACACGGCTGCTGGTCTCGCAATATTCCCTGCGTGTGGCAGCACACAGCAAATGTTGGGGCTGGAAAAGAGATTTGGTTGTTTCAGACCTCCACAACCACTTGGTTAATTTGAAGCTGACGGTGCTGAGCTGTTTCTTCCTCAGGCTGCTTGTACCAAAGCTTCCTTTTCTCTCTGCCAGGAAGAGCAGACCCAGAACAACAACAGGTGTGTTAAGACAGAAAAATTCCAACCCTTCTAACACGTATTTGGTTTAAAAAAGCCTCTTCCCTTGTAGCTTCTGCTCTCTGCTGTTCTCAGTCGTCAGAGGGTGACTTTTTTCCGTTGAGGTTCTTCAGATGCAAACTGAAAAGGCCACGAGCTTTGGTGGGATGTCGCCGACAGCTGGAGTGGCGCGCGTCCTTCTCGGTTGCTATAAGCCACCACCGGTATTGCAAGCAGCCGGCGTGCGGTGTGGAAAATGCAGAGGTTCTTATGTTCCGCAGCGGAACCGCAGGATGGCTTGCCCAGTTTGTGCCCGTCAGCGAGCGCTCGCCATGGGGAACTCGAGCCGGCGTTGGCGCTGGGCTACAGGAACGCCGGCGCGGCGCTGCAAAAGAGTGAGAAGCCAGGCGCCATCAATTTGTGGTGAGAAACAGCAGAAAACGGTAGAGAAGTCCTCTCAGTTGGAGGTTGCTACTAGTCCCCCACCGCTGAGCAATCGCATTTGATGCGGGTGGAAGGTGAGACGTTAAGTAGAAAGTGGGAATTGAAATTGTTTCTGAAAGTACCGGCAAGGTGCAGCTGCAATGTGCGCTTCCTTCTACCGTGCTCTGCGGGGTGTAGCAAATTATTTTGGAACTGTCCCCTTTAGAGAGGGGAAAACAACCACCAGCCAAAAAAAAATCCTCTGATTTTTTGGAAAAGAGGTTCTGTTGAAAGCTTGCTTTCAGCAACTGGTGATAGCTTTTCCTTAGAGTGGTGGAAATGGATGCATCAACGAATTTTTAAGGAGTCTTGGTAGCAGGATGCCCTGAAGCTGGCAGCAGAAGGTGCTTGTGGAGGAAACCCCACTCCAGCGGCAGTTGCAGTCCCCAGATGTGGAGCAGAGCTGGTACCGAAGAAGATGAGAATCCAGAGCTCCCTGTGACCCTCGGAGCAAACACCCAAACTTCCACAAACTCTTCTGGGACTGGGGCAGCCAGTCCCCACACCAAACTCTGTGAAACCTCTGGGATAGGGAGATGAAAACACACACACTGTGGGGAGAAAAGCCATCCTTGTAGTGTTGCCTGGGGAGGGCACCGAGAGGAATCTCGGAATTTTCCACGTCGCTGTGGATTTTGGTGTAGGATGAAGAGTTTATCACCCACCTGTTCCTTCCACCTCCCTTCAGCCCACAGTAAGGCAGGCTGGGAGGGCTTAGTGCAGACGTTTAGGATAGAGGAGCGAGTTTTTATCCCTGAAATACGGTTGAAAATTTGGATTTCATGAAAGCCTGGCTTGCCAGGTCTGTATTTTGCAGCGCTGCTTTTATGTTGCCACCTCATTTTCGCTGTCGCTCGTTGTTTGTTCTCGGCATTTGATGTGGTTTATTACTCAGAACCAGAGCTAATACATATTCAGCAGTCCATGATCTGTACTTGGGAGAAAGGACAAGTGATCGAGTGCCGTATTTAACTGCCTAACCCTCGGTTTGAGAGAGGAGCAGGTGGCCATGAGAATAATACTTTCAAACAGGAAACTTCAGTATTTTATCTCTTGGTGCTTTTCTTCACTTGGCAGCTTGAAGCATAACTTGACTTTCAGCCGTAGCCGAGCTCTCATCAAGGTGGAAAAGTCAGCTTCAAGCAGGAAAAAAACCTGTCCTGCCCGTTTGTAAGGATTTCCGTGCTAGTGCTGGTAGTGCTGGAGTTAATAGCAGAAAGGAAACTCAGCACCATAAGTTGGCAATCGTCAGCTGTTTATATGGTGTGACCAATTTGTTTATATTTTTACATGGCAGCGTTATTATTAGTAAATTATTAGCTTCTTGTTGCATTCTCCTCCTGTCATGAAATTGCACTCGTTTAAAGCGATGTTTCTGGTTTTCTCTGGATGTGGCTACGGGTCCAGGAGCCCGCTGGAAGGCCGTGGATGCTGACCTCAAGGAGTCTTTGGGTTCTTTGCCACCTACTTGCAATATGACTTTGGAAAAATCCTGGAACATTTCTAGGATACAGTTACAGGAAACCTGTACCCTGCCTCTGCTGGTTTTACTCCCAGAGTAACCTTAGGCGTATCAAGATTATCAGATGCTCCTCACCCATTTGAGGTTTTTGACTAAAAACTGCGAATTGCAAGTGAAAATTAGGATTATTGATTAGGTTTAACCGGTGAGAATCTATACCATGGGAGCACTGGAAGCCTTAGACTGGATGGGCCAGATTTCTTCAGCGTGTTTCAAGCACCAGAGGTTCTGCGGGAAGACAAAAGTATCCTTTTTAATCTGTCTTTCTTATTTCCAATTCACAGGAACAGCCTGAGACACTAATTTCTGTAGGCTAATTGTTGGTTGTGGGAAGAAGTCTTTTTTTTTGAATCCTGAATAGTACCTTGTAATTGCAGAAGTTTTTACTGTGCTATACTTTTGTAATCTGCACAAGGAAATTACCCACCAAAGGTAATTAGCAGGCAGGTCAATATTTCTGAGGGTTTTCTCACTGTGGGTATCATTAAGGGTACCTGACTCATGAAGAATCACATCTGAACTGCATTTCTTCATCTTTGAGTGTTGAAGTAAAACTTTCAGGAAGGTGGATAATGTAATTTTAGGTGTATTTTGGTGATTTTTTTCCCTAAGATACTTCACAGCGCCGAAGAGAAGCATGTTTTCATTTTGTGCTTTGTTTTACCTGCAGATGATGTGGTTAAAGTGAAAGGTGAATACACTGAAAGAGAGGAGAGCGCTATAAATTCCGAGCCTATGGAAACCCCAGAAGAATCTGAAATGCCTTACACCTACCCCAGAGAATACAGTGAATATGAAAGCATTAAGCTGGAAAGACATTCTGGTTCATATGACGTCAGGCCAGCTAGTGGAAAAATGAATTGTGATATCTGTGGATTAGCCTGCATTAGCCTCAATGTCTTGATGGTTCATAAGCGTAGCCACACTGGTAAATATCCCTATATTATTCTTCTAAGAGCTGAATACTGAAAGGATAATGATTTGTAATGCAGACAACTTATTTAAAAAAAGAATGCCAAAATGAGGATTTCCTTGTTCTGTCCTTGATGCCACATGTGATCTGTAGCAAGCTGCTCGCTTTTCTGTGCCTCACTTTACCCACCTTTCTTGTTAGGTTAGCAAAAGCGTGTTTGTGAGGCATTTTAAGAATTTTGGATGAAAGGCACTATGTCGTTTAAGTATTCCAGGCACAAAACCCAAGTTAGATTGGTTTTGTGCTGCCATTTCCAGCCTGCGTATGTATTTCTCTCTGTGCTGTACTTTGGCAACAAACCAATGAGCATCTTAAGTTTCAGCATGCAGTAAGATAAGCCTTTTTTTTTTTTTTCCCTAAAAAGTTGCTAGCTTATTGGAATCAGCCTCCTCCAGAACACTTATTTCCATGGAAAAACCGCACAGCGTTTTCCATAGGTGTACGTAACGTGGCAAGAAGCTCTGACACCAGAGCTGCACCTAACTCCCACTGCAGTCAACGGAAGGGCTGGGTGGGTTTCTGTAGAGAGAAATCGCTCCGGTCCCTCATTCTTTCCTCTTCCCAAAAGGAAAGGGTGTAAGGATAGCATGATACCCACGTAACCATTAAATGTCCTTTTTTGTATGTCATTTTAAGGTGAACGGCCATTCCAGTGTAATCAGTGCGGAGCTTCCTTTACTCAGAAGGGTAACCTCCTCCGCCACATTAAGCTACATACAGGGGAAAAACCTTTTAAATGTCATCTTTGCAGTTATGCCTGCCAAAGGAGGGATGCACTAACGGGTCACTTAAGGACACATTCTGGTAAGTGACTTCAGCGGCACTTCACGTGTTTGCGATGTGTGTCACTAGGACACTGGGCGTGGAGCACAGTCAGTCAGCGCAGTGCGTTCAGCCGGTCTCGTCTGCAAGAGCCAAGGAGTAGAAGTGACCCCTCGCTCTCCCTGCAGGAGGAGGGCAGAGGGAAACCCGCTGCCACGGCTGCGGGAAGGGCCAGCCTCCATCCCTGCTTGGACAAAATAACTCCTCGGTGTTTTCAAATGCTTGGAGCGAGCTGTGCCAGCAAGCTCTGAGTCGGAGGGGTAGCACGACGACACGCTTGGCTGGGATTTCCTCCCGTGCCTGCCCCGAGCTGTCAGGATAGCTCGAGGAGCGTCGTCCAGCACAGCGTGACTGTTGCCAGTTCACACCTTGCCGTTGCGTAGTGCCTTTCATCTGAACATCTTAACGTGCTCGACAAACGCCAGCGTTTTGTTTTTTTTCTCAAGGCTGGTAGGGTGTTCCATCCGTTTTACGGCTGGGGGAAATGGAGGCACAGAGCTGAGGTGACATGATTAACGAGCCAGGTATAAATTGATTGATCTTAGTTTCCCCCAGTTGTGCAAGAGCCAGGCTGTGCTTGCTCTTTGATTTGTGTATATCCTGTGTTATGCAGGGGCCTAGAAAGAGAACATTTATTCTAAATGATAGATGTTATCTTTGTACTGCACTTTACAGAAAGAAAAAAATTAAAAGTTCAACCTTGCAAAGAATCAAAGCTAGAAACGAGATTATCTGACATGGATGAATGAGATTCTGATTTAATCAAGACCCAGCACAGCGGTGGTGACTGTCCCCCACCAGCACAATGCTAAAACCATCGTGCTTCAAACACTTTGTGTGCTTATCTTGGGCTGGTTTAGTAAACAGTATAAAGAAAATCTCTTCAAGTGAATCACATAAAGAAGTGAATAATTTTGGTAGCGGTAAGGAGCGCAGTCTTCCTGCCCGGCGCGCGGTGCAAGGCTGGGTGTATGTGCGCTGCACGGGGCCGATCCCGTGCCCGGGTGTGTTAGAGAGCGACTGCTCACAAAGCAGCAGCGCAATAGTTCAGCGAGTGCTTCCAGTGCTCGGGTCTGAGGCGCTGGGAAAGGCTGCGGCGGGTATCTTGGAGTTTCAGACAGGTTTGCTTTAGCTTCAGATGAGTTAGGAGCATAATTCCTTTTACGATAAATGCCTTTGGAAAGGAAACTCACCTCACGTAGGGTTTTGGTTTGGTTTAACTTCATTGATTTTGTGGACCCTTGAAGAGTTCTGCACGCGCAGGACCTCGGGCAGGCTGCTGGGACAGCGGCAGTCCTGGCTCAGCGGCGTTACCAGTAGCGTTCTCCCTGAGCCCGTAGTAACCGTACACTTGGAGACAGTGTTTGAGCCGCCTCCGTGGTTATTTTATGCCGTGCTCTTCTTTTCCTAGTGGAGAAGCCGTACAAGTGTGAGTTTTGCGGAAGGAGCTACAAGCAGAGGAGCTCGCTGGAGGAGCACAAGGAGCGGTGCCGTACTTACCTGCAGAACGCTGGCGTGTGCGAGGCTGGTGAGTTCAGCACGTCACCGTGGGTTTGGGTTTTTGCTGCGTTACTGCGCGTAAACAAGGGCATCTGGTGAGCTGTTAATTCACAGCCTGAGAACAGCTTTTACTACGATTATTTTCAGTAACCTAAGGGGCTGTAACAGCTTTAAAAAGGGTCTGGTTTAACACATCCCTCGGGCGACCAGCTAAAGGAGGCTTTTATTTTAATCACTTTTTTATTTCACAGTTACTTTGAATAAAACATCTGAAATACCTTTTACGCAGCGTTTCTGTAGGTGACGCTCACTGTAAGTTTAATTATTCTTACATTAATGCTCTGACGTGGCTTATTTGATTGGATGAGCGGATGCCCGTGGTTCAGTGGTTGCTCATTGAACAGTTGCTCACGTGTCTGAGTCCGTTTGGTGCCTCATTTTCTTTAGAATGACAACAATTGGTCAGAACCAGTTAGAATTCACAGGAGTTTTAGGAGTTTCTGGGGCACGGAAACGGGGCAGTGTCCCGAGGGTGACGGATAGCTCAGCTTAGGGGATGGAAAGAATACGAGGGCTACTCGAAGTGGAGAACTGCCTTTGAAAAAGGGTGAAGGTAAAATGTGTCAAAACAGGTTTTCTTATTTTCCTTTTCACAGTCTCAGTGCTGCAGTTCTGAAAACGCTGCGGTGAAAAATAACCGCCCTAACCTTTGAGCCTGCTTCACCTGAATATTTCCAATCCTGAAATGAACTCATGTGATTTAAGTCGCACGATATGCCAGTAAGTCAGGAGAGAATCGCTTTTCCCATTCAGTGTCCGGGAGCGGTTGTGACCTCCCAAAAGATGATACAACTAATCCGTAGCAGAGCTGAGGCTACAATTTCAGAGTTCAGGTTCCCATTCTTTTCCTTTGCAGCCTTAAAATAAAACAAACAAGCAAAAGCTGTAAGTTCTCAAGGACTAGAACCTTCCTTGCTTGGATTGTGAATTTCAAATTAAATTTTCTTTTCAAGGAAGAGGCTAAACTGAGTTTTCAGAAAAGAAAACTGAAACATAAAATCAGAAAGCTAAAATGTAGTAGCCTTAGAGAGCTGACAATGTTAACCCAGGCTCTTTAATAAGAAAAAAAGTAATTTGTAATTAGTGAGATGATTATCAACCAAAGATTCTGCAGACATCACCATGAGCCAGGCCTGAAAACCAGTGTGAGGACCCGTTGGTGTGTGATACCTGTGGGGTACAAGAGTCCTCGCCCTGTGCAGAGCGAGTCGCTTGGCATGCCAGGCTTTAGGCCACATGCACACACAGAAACTGCTATGAAGCAGCAACGATTTAACAAAGTTAGAGTTTTACATTTCTTCGTGGGCTGCCTTCTTTTCAGAAAATGACACGTAGTTTTAGAGCGTTAGTAGAAGTAAATGGTTGTCAGAATGTCAGCAAGTTTTGGTTTTCATGAGAACCCACTGGTATTGTAGCTGTGGTTTTATGTCAGAGTACGTATTCCCATGATGGCAATCACTCCGAGATGTCCAACATGTGAAAATGGAAAACATGATACCTCCTGCAGATTTCTGGTTTTAAGTGTTTCTCATGGTTTATATTCATCTCAGAATAGCAACATGTTACTTACCCCGAATCCGCTGTGCAGCGCTCGGTGCAGTTGCGCAGCGAACCTCTGGTCGCAGAGGAAGTGTAAAGTTCCAGCACGACGTGACGTGGCTGTACCCTCTGCCCTTGAGACCTTCGCGCTTTTACAAACGCCGCGGTGGTTTTACTGGAGCAATAAGTTCTATGAAAAACAGGAACTCTGGTGTGGCCGAGGCATTGCCGTTCGGTTCCTGGTGTCGGCACTGCGCGGGGCGCCAGGGGCAGAGGGGAGGCTGGAAGGGACCTCAGGAGGTCCTTTGGTGCATTTGATTTTTCCTCTAAGTGCAGCACTTTGCCCTTGCATTTAGTGAACGTCGCTTGGGTTTGGGTTTTTTTGGATTTCTGACCATTTTCCTACCCAGGCACATCGCTTTGAATTTCGATCCTCTGAAGCCCTTGCAACCTTCTCGTCTGGAGCCACCTTTAAGTACAAGTGTGCTCTGCAGGCCAGCAGCCAGGAATTCACTAAAATGTTAAAAAGCATGAGGACTCCAGTAACCATGTAGTGGCTTTTCAGTACGAGGTTTGCCTGTTCCAAACGTCGCGGCGAGGAAATATTTCCAAATGCAAGGCTTTATGTAACGATATTCGAGCGTTGCTCAGCCCCCGATAAGAATCTCTGGTCACACTGTTCTCGTTGCTCAATAAGCCACCTCACTGTTCCACTCTCCTCTATTTAGTGACCACACAGAGATGCTGCAGGAAGCAATGCCTCTAATTTGAGCTCTGCTTCGAACTTGAGGGTTTTGTTAACAATGCCCACGTGCTCTAAAAATTATCCTCACATCTACTGTGTGACAGAAACCACACTAGGGAGATAAATCAGCACGGGCTGAATGACCGTGTGTTGGCGCTCTGGGCTGGAAGCGGAGCATCCTCTCTCTGTACATCTACAGAAGCTTTCAGCATCCTCAGAGGTTTTGCTTTTTGGGCTGGACCTCCAGAAGGATTTAGCTTGCAGGATCTTTCAAGATCACAAGCTGCAATTGGAAGTGAAGTGCTTTGGCAGTCTAGATTGTCGTTATTCGTTTTTTCTCAGTGTAGTTTTGAGCAAAGCACTTGACCATCTCTGTCAGTCCAGCCCGAAGTTTATTTTTAGATACACGTTCTAGTTAGATAATTAGTTCTTTAAGCTGATGTCACAATGTGCAGTGGAAACATCCAGTGCGGGAGGGAATTGAAGAGGGAGACGGGACGTGATTATTTCTCTCCGTTTGAGAAGCCTTTAGAGAGTTTTCAATGATTAAAGAAATGTTTCCTAAATGCTAAATATTATTCTTGGATTGTTTAATAAGTGATCCAGAAGAAAGTGGTGGTTGAGATAATTTTAAGTGAGGTTTTGGGCAGGGAGCGCAGCGCTGTGAGAGAGAACCGGTGTAACCGCCTGTGTCTCGACGGGAGCAGATAGTTTCCCTAAGGCTGCGTTACTAAGACATCGTCAAAGACTTTTTGTGGCCCATAAATAGAGATTATTTTCTTCCCTTTAGGAAAAATGGCCGTTAGCAAGGAGCTAATGTGAATGTAAAGACCCTCAGCGTTAAAAATAAAATGACAGACAGACATGGAGCTGGAAGATTGATACTTACAGATGTCCCAGACCATATTATGTAGGTCAATAATTACTGTCTCTTCAACATTCTCCTCTGAGTAAAGACTATTGTTACCTCTGCAGGAAGCTGCTTGTCTGCCCTCTTGACACTAATTTAATAAAGTTCCCCTGGTGGCACATAAATAACGTTGACAAGACAAGGAGTCGTAGTCGCTGCTGTGCTACGTGCAGCCCCCCGTGTGTTCCTGGGGCTGGCTGAGAGGACCCAGAGAAACTTCCTTTTGTCAAAAGGTGGAGAAGAAGATTCTGAAAATGTGAAATCGGAGCTTTAATGGAACATGAGTACAACTCATGAACTTAAAGATTGAGAAAAAGAGGAACAAAATTTAGAAAAATAAGAAATGGTAGGGACCAAGGAGCTGCCCTTATGACGTGGATTAATTGAGTTTTCTTCCTTTTTTTTTGTTTTTCCCCCTAAATTTTGAATATACAGCACTGTTTGTATGATTATTTTGTTCAGGGTTGTCAAGATTATTAATTTTCTGGGTTGGAGGTAGTTCTGACTTGAACTGCAGTTGCCTGAATATAATATAAAGAGCTCAGAAAGCATTTCCCAGTTTTTTGGAGCTCAACAGAAATTCTGAAATTAAAAATCCCGCAGCGTTATTCTCAAGAATTAACTAGAGCTTCTGGCCCAAACCCAAACGGGTGATGATGTTCTGCCTGCCTGACTCCCCCTTAGAGTTTCAGCTCAATCTGGTGCTGGTCTCGCTCCACGCAGACTGTTACGCAGCGTCTTGGCGTTTCGCGCTGGGAGCAGGTGCGCTGTAGCGGGCGGCGGATTTATTTATGTGAGTCTCTACACACACTCGAGTGGTTTGGAATAAAAACCAGCCCAGGGAAGCAGCGTGTTGTTACCCTTAAGGCACCGTGCAGGCTCGCTGCTGGGGGGCTGGCGGTCCCGCGTGTCGCGGGGTCACAGCCCGGTGAGCTGGGACCCGACTGAGCCCCGGTGTCCTGTCCCTCCTGAGTCATATTCGTAGCTCGTGTCTTGTGGCGTGGAGTACTTAGGAAGGGCTTTACGTTTTCAAACTGCTGAACAAACATGAACAAACAGTTCTGGCTGAGGTTTGGTGAGTCATGGTTTGTGCTGACTGAAACTCATCTGGTATCAATAACAGCAGTAATAAAACAGGCAAAAAGTGTCTGGCTGTGAAATGCCCAGGGAAGCGCTGCCCGCTGAGCTGTGGAAGGATGATACTGCATTTTTGTCCCTCACTCTCCTTGGCAAACTGCAATTTAAGGCCAGTACTTGAGAAAGCAGGGCCAGAGTGATACTGAAGCGCTTGTATCATTTTCCTCTGGCATTACTTCTCTCTTACCTAGATTTGCTTTGGTACGTTTAGGTCTGCCAGCGCAACAGTACAGTAACACAGCGGCCAGGATTCTTTCACGGTGATATCTGACCTTTTGTATCCCTTTGGGGAAAGTAAATTACCTGTCCTTGTCTTTGTTTGCCTCTTAAAGGCATGGGCAGCCTCTTAAAACGTGTCTGGGTTTCACCGCAGTGGTCCCTAAAGCTGAAACTTTTAGTGCCACATTTTTATATGACAGTACCGCAACCAAGACTCGTTCTTCAGGCGAGAGCGAGTTGGTTTTTTGGGGGGGAGGGGGGTTTAGCCGCAGCAGTTACGTTCAGTATTAGTGTGGCAGTAGCGATATGAGGTGGCAGTCCTGCAGCTTGGCTGATCCCCCTCAAGAGCCTCCGCGAGGTGAGAGCAAGCAGCCGTTTCCGTGAAATGACGGACGCTGGGCTAGCGCGCCCGAAGGAGAGCTCTGGAAAACGATATGATCCTTCAAACAGGGGCTCAAAACGAAAATGGTGTGATCCCGAGCGGCTCAATCTCAAGGGAGTGATCGTAGGACCTGTGGACTCTTCCTAGCATTAGAAATTCTGGACGTTGTAAATGAGCTTTAAAACACCTGATGCTGACAAGCGTGCCGGGGAGAGGTGATCTCAGTTCTAGCTGTAGCGTTTAGGGGGAAAAAATGAAGTGATAATGACACCTGAGAAAAAAAAAAGTGAAGGTTGAAAAGGTGTATCAATGCTCCACTAAACTCAAAATAATGTATTTCATCCAAGTTCCTTAGCGATGCGTTAAGAAGACGTCTCCATGTCTGCCAAGGAGGACTGGGTGTCCTGCGTTGGGGTTTTGAAGCGCTGTGTCAGTCGCAGGTGTCCCAGTCTGAGTCAGAATAAAAAAGAGAGGCTGACAGAGGTTATACCTCCATCTAGATTCGTGTAACCAACCCTTCCAGCCAGTTTGTTTCACACTTCCTCTCGCTGATGAAGGCGCTGGGTTTGTATGGTTTGTGCTCTCCTTGCACGAGCTCAGGACCACGAGGTTCATGTCGTTCTGCGCTGGGTTCCACTGACCGCAGCTGGTGCCCGAGGCGCGCAGAGCAAGAACGACAGAAAAAGCAAAACAAGTTTACATCAGATCTCCAAACTGTTTCCTCCCAGTTAGTGTGGCAAACTCCGGAGATTAAACCATTCATCTCTTCCTTTTTCTTTTTTTTTGTTCTCTTTTTTTCCTTTTCACCTACGTGTTGTTTTGTTGCTTTTGCTTTTTTTTTTTTTTTTTTCTTTTTTCTTCTTTGCATTTTCCAAACTAGCGAGCGTGGAGGCAAGGCACATCAAGGCAGAGATGGGGAGTGAAAGAGCCCTTGTGCTGGACAGGCTAGCAAGCAACGTGGCAAAGCGAAAAAGCTCAATGCCTCAGAAATTTATTGGTAAGAACAAAAAAACCTTTTCGTGTGTGCAACAGTTAAATATGTGCGAGTTGGTAACCTGTAGTACGATGCCTCTGCTTATTTTAAATAGCCTCCTTGAGCTTATAATCTAATGCAAGAGAATATAATTAACTTGGCTTATTCTGATGTGGTTTGGGTGATTTGTTGCAGGGGTTGGTTTAAAATGAAAAGAATATGTTCTGTTAGATACCTCAGCTGGATGGAGGCTGCCACTGTGCTTTGTGTCTATTTGTGCAGACAGTTTATAAGTGTATTTTATGAGCTTCCACGTGTTGCTTTCTGTACGTGTGCATTTGAAATGTTCTCTGCTAGGTTCTTTACTGAAAAAGAACAGGAAGGCTTAATGCTGTAAGAGCTGGGTGCTCGCTCTGGTCAGCAGGAGGTGAAGGTGCTTGAGGATGCATGTGTGGAATAAGGCCTAAAGACAGAAAAGTATTGGATTTCTGCTAGTCACCCTGCTGAATCTGAATATGGGTTAAAAATATCAAATCCTTTCTTGTGGTAATTTAAGCAATGAGCTATTTTCGTTGCAATTTCTTTGCATTTCGTGTTGTGTGATCGGTTTTGCATGCTGGGGATCTTAAATACTCGTCTGGCAGGTTCTGTGTTGCAGCGAACGCCCGATCCTCCTGGCTGGTCTTACTTCATTAAGCTGCCTTTTAAGAAAAGAAAGCGCAGCTCTTGCGTCCTGAGTAAAGACCTGACTTAGCAGTTATGTAATATTAGGACTAGTAATGCCTCGTTTGTTATATTCTGTGCAAGGTACCAAGTGCTTGCTTTGCTTAACGTAGACTTCTCCTGCAGAGCAGGGGCCGGGGGCAGGCTGGGGGGGCGGCCAGGGATGTCCCGAGCGGCTGGGGCTGAGGTCTCCACCTGGGTAAAGGTGCGCTCCTGAATCCACGGACACAGAAAAGCGACCTGGGTTCTGAAGGTAACGTAGCTCGGACTGGATTTGCTGGGCAGCACTGGACTTTGGCCTGTGAAAACCGCTGACTTCTCTTTAGGCGACTTAGTAGGGCTTTAAAAAAGTCACTTTTTGTAAAAGTCACGTCCGCAGCAGTGAAGTAACGCCGTCACGCTCCATCCGAGTGCCTTTGGGTTCCTCACACTGAAACTGTTGACTGTGTGATTTAGACCTTACATGTCGGGCTGTGATTCAAACAGTAATACTAACGCAAATGGCTTTGAAAATCTTCAGCTTCCTTTTTTTCCTTTTTTTTTAGGACTGAGATCAGCTTCACTCTCTCTTGCTTTACAGTTGCTACCAATTCAATTCAGTTCAACCTTTATGTATCTTATTAATCACGTC